ATCTGAGAGGACACATTTTCACCCAAATTTTTATTTATGCCTATTTTACATTTCTATTTCTTTTTCACCTCAGTTGGCGATCCCTTTGTCTTTTGCACTGGGCTTCCACATCATCTGTTCCTCTTGTCCACTCCCCCCAACCTCTGCCTCTGTCAAAGTATTTAAAAAACATCATTCTCCAGCCTCTTCAATTCTGAAAAAGTCATATCCGACTTGAAACATTGACTCTGTTTCTTATTTCACAGATGCTCTGGACCTGCTGAGTTTGTACAAAATTTTCTTTGTGAACAAGAAAACTTACATGTCTATAGAGGCAAAGCTATCCAGCAGAAGGGAATTTGCTGTAAATGCAATAATTGTGCTGAGGATTTTTCTGTGACTAGTTATTATGTAGTTGAAATAAACATTTCAGGACAAAGGTTTTAATTATGATTAGTGGAAATATGTTTCCTAAAGACATCAGAATGATTTTATATCAACATGATGATTCAGTGGGTAAACCAATGCATTGAAAATGAGTGCAATTGAATATTAAGATGGGAATCAGTGGAAATGATTTATGGATTAAGTATATCATTTGCCATTGCCTTGATGGTTTCAGATCCACAAAATAAAGGATTTATGGCCCTAATTTTGGGATTCCCCATCTTCTCCATAACTGTTCTCTTAATCCACTTCATAATTTAAACACCTCTACCAGTGTCCTTTTCTGAATAAAAAGAACCTGAGCCTGTTCAGTCTTCTAATATTATATAATCTTAGTTCTTTTGTATCTTATTTGATTTAATTTTTAAAATAGTGGCAGACTATTTTTAATTCAGCTGGAAGCATCGCCAAGGGAAAATTCTTTCTACAAATTCTTTCTTCCTTCAAATCCTGCATTGAAGAAGAAACTAAATAAATGGATAAGGACAAAGGGGACAGAAAGGCAAAATGGAATTTGTGGGCCATTATAAGGGAGAAGTGAGTGTAGAGGGAGAATAACAATTAATGTAAGGCAAAGCAGCAGGTTAGCAGGTGACGAGGAAGCTTCAACTCCACTGAAAGTTAGGAAAAAATTTAAAGGGAAGGAGAACTCAAGAGTTGTTAGTAATGGAGGTAATAGGACCCAAAAAGAAGGTGCAAAAACTGGCGTAAGGGCACTTTATCTGAATGCTCGGAGCATTCGAAACAAGGTGGATAAGTTGACGGTGCAAATCATGGCAAATAGGTATGATTTAGTGGCCACTACAGAGACATGGTTACAGGATGGTCATGACTGGGAGTTAAATATCCAGGGGTATCAAACTGTTCGGAAGGACAGACAGGAAGGTAAGGGAGGTGGTGTTGCTTGGATTTTTAAGGATGATATCAGGGCGGTAGTGAGAGATGATATAGGTTCTACTGAACAAAACGTTGAATCCATTTGGGTGGAAATTAGGAATAGCAGGGAGAAGAAGTCACTGATAGGTGTGGTCTATAGTCCACCAAATAATGACATTGTGGTGGGGCGGGCAATAAACATAGAAATAGCTAAAGCATGTAAAAATGGTACAGCAATTATCATGGGGGATTTTAATCTACATACCGATTGGTCAAACCAGGTCGGTCATGGCAGCCTTGAGGAGGGGTTCATAGAATGCATCCGTGATAATTTCCTTGAACAATATGTAATGGAACCTATGGGGGAGCAAGCTATCCTAGATCGAGTCCTGTGTAATGAGACAGGAATAATTAATGATCTCACAGTTAGGGATCCTCTCGGAAGGAGCGATTACAGTATGGTCAAATTTAAAATACAGATGGAGTGTGAGAAGGTTAAAAACAGTACCTATGTCCTGTGCTTAAACAAAGGAGACTATGAAGGAATGAGGAAGGAGTTAGCTCAGGTAGAATGGGAGCAAAAACTTTATGGTGGGTCAATTGAGGAACAGCGGAGGACTTTCAAAACGATTGTTCACAGTGCTCAGTAGAAATATATTCCAGTGATAAGGAAGAACTGTAGGAAAAGAGAGAGCCAGCCACGGATGTCTAAGGAAATAAAGGAAAGTATCAGATTGAAAAAAAAAGCACATACAAAAAAGCAAAGAGTAGTGGGAAACTAGTAGACTGGGAAATCTTTAAAGGCCAACAGAAAGCCACAAAAAAAGTTATAAAGAAAGGTAAGATAGATTTATGAGAGTAAACTAGCTCGGAATATAAAAACAGGCAGCAAAAGTTCCTATAAATATGTAAATCATAAAAGAGTGGCGAAGGTAAACATCGGTCCTTTAGAGGACGAGAAGGCCAATTTAATAACTGGGAATGAGGAAATAGCCGAGACATTAAACAGTTATTTCGTGTCAATCTTCACTGTGGAAGACACAAATAATATGCCGAAAACTAATGGCAAGAAGGTTATAGCAGGTGAGGACCTAGAAACTATCATTATCACTAAGGAGGCAGTGCTGGGCAAGCTAATGGGGCTAAAGGTAGACAAGTCTCCTGGCCCTGATGAAATGCATCCCAGGGTACTAAAGGAGGTGATGGGGGAAATAGCAAATGCACTAGTAATTATTTACCAAAATTCACTGGACTCTGGGGTGGTTCCCACAGATTGGAAAACAGCCAATGTGACGCCACTGTTTAAAAAAGGAAGTAGACAAAAAGCAGGTAACTATAGGCCAGTTAGCTTAACTTCGGTAGTGGGGAAAATGCTTGAATCTATCATTAAGGAAGAAATAGCAAGACATCTGGATATAAATTGTCCCATTGGGAACACCCAGCATGGGTTCATGAAGAGTAGGTCATGTTTAACTAATTCGGTGGAATTCTTTGAGGACATTACTTGCATGGTGGACAATGGGGAACCTGTGGATGTTGTGTATCTGGATTTCCAGAAGGCATTTGTCAAGGTGCCATCCCAAAGGCTGCTACATAAGATAAAGTTGCACGGTATTACAGGTAATGTATTGGCATGGATAAAGGATTGGTTGACAGTAGAAAGCAAAGAGTACGGGTAAATGTGTGTTTTTCTGGTTGGTGGTCAGTGGCTAGTGGTGTGCCTCAGGGATCAGTGTTGGGACCGCAATCGTTTACAATTTACATAGATGATTTGGAGTTGGGGACTCAGTGTGGTGTGTCAAAATTTGCAGATGACACTAAGGTAAGTGGTAGAGCAAAGTGTGCAGAAGACACTGAAAGTCTGCAGAGGGATGTAGATAGTCTAAGTGAGTGGGCAACGGTCTGGCAGATGGAGTACAATGTTAATAAGTGTGTGGTCAGCCATTTTGGTAGGAATAACAGCAAAATGGACTATGTTTTAAATGGTAAAAAATTGCAGCACGCTGCTGTGCAGCGGGACTTGAATGTCCTTGTGCATGAATCGCTAAAAGTAGGATTGCAGGTGCAGCAGGTAATTAAAAAGGCAAATGGAATTTTGTCTGCCATTGCTAGAGGGATGCAGTTTAAAAACAGGGAGGCTATGCTGCAGCTGTATAGGGTCCTAGTGAGGCCACACCTGGAGTACTATGTGCAGTTTTGGTCTCCTTACTTGACAAGAGATATACTAGCACTGGAGGGGGTGCAGAGGAGATTCACTCGGTTGATTCCAGAGTTGAGAGGGTTGGATTGAGGAGAGACTGAGTAGACTGGGATTATACTCATTGGAATTCAGAAGAATGAGGGAGATCTCATAGAAACATATAAGTTTATGAAGGGAATAGATAAGGTGGAGGCAGGGAGGTTGTTTCCGCTAGCAACCTAGAGGGTATCGCCTCAAAATAAAGGGAAGCAGATGTAGGACTGATGTCAGGAGGAACTTCTTCACCCAAAGGGTTGTGAATCTGTGGAATTCCCTGCCCAGTGAAGCGGTTGAAGCTACCTTGCTGAATGTTTTTAAGGCAAGGCTAGATAAATTTTTGAACAGTAAAGGAATTAAGGGTTATAGTGAGTGGGCGGGTAAGTGGAGCTGAGTCTCAAAAAGATCAGCCATGATCTTATTAAATGGCGGGACAGGCTCGAGGGGCCAGATGGCCTACTCCTGCTCCTAGTTCTTATGTTCTTATGTTCTTATCATCTGGGTAGACTTGTCCAAAGGGCCTGTACCTGTGTCATATCTTCAATGTATTTGATTAAGCGAGGAATGACACTTTTCCCTTGAGGAAAGGGTCTCAAGTCCAGTTGGATAATAGGTGTAAAGATGAGGCCTGGAATATGATAGCTATAAACCTCATTATACAAACTCCTTGAGGAAATAGATTAGTTTTAATAATGGCCACTGCATGTCCAAAATCATCAATATTGCTACTTAGCCTGAAAACAGCTTTGGAAACACTTTCTTACGTGATAGTCTAATGGTTTCAACAGAGATATCTTGAGGTAATTTTTGACTGGAGCTTTGAATGCTTTTGTGGGAAATGTAAAAATAGACTTTTGGGATGATTGGAGGATCATTATTCACTGCTAGACAGGAAATCTTAGGACTCCCAAAATAGATATGTTGATTACTGGACTAGATGAAGGAAGTATTTTACTGGAACAAAAAAACAGAATTTAATATGGATAGTAAGCAACCAACATTTAAAATATATATTTTGTGGAGGAGGACAGATCTAAATTACGTCTTGCACATGAAAATTTAAAAGCCACATAATAAAAATCTGGTAGAGCAAACCAAATTAATATGGCATTTGAGGAAATAGTATATTTTGATGACTGCTGACAATTATGTAAAATTGATATTACAAACATTCCTACATCTCAATTTTTATCAGAAATAAGAATAAAGTGAAACTTTATTTTGACACCCTGGGAGCTAAATTGGATAGTCCTGAGAATGGGTGCAGGGATCACAGTATTGCGATTAATCTGCATCCATTGCTTCTGATCAAGGTAATATTCCACATGATGTTCCCTGTTCGTTTAGTGATTGCTTAGGACAGGAAGTGTGAAATGTACTGTTGAGTGGCTGTGTGCCTCAGAAAAGGGTTCATGTTTGTGTGAGGCCAGCTGGACTACAAGCTTATCTGCACTTCTTACAGGTGGAGGCCAATCAGAGTGGAGCAGATGCTGGATCGGTTGTGGAAGTGTGTCTGATAGAGTGGATGAGCTGACGAGGAGGAGATCTAACTCAGGTGGCCTGGATGCAGTCCAAACAATCAATTGGAATATGGCGGGATCAAACAACCATGGCAGTTAATCCAGGAATCAAGACTCAAGGACCTGGAACAGAGCTTCATAAAGTTTAATGATCACATATAAGTGGTCATGGTCAGTAATACATCAAATGCAATAACTCACCCATCGGACTAGCGGCTTCACACATTGTTTGATGCACTGCACCTTCATTACTCACCAAGTAACAATATTTATTAAGCAAAACTGACACCTAATATTCAGTGCCTCATCTCACCTTCACATGCTCAACAGTGCTCCTCGCCTCACAGCCATAACTCACAGTTTTCACAGCTTTTCAGCTTTAATAACCACATCACCCAAAAATATTGTAACACTCTCACTTCACTGACACTTGCCTCTCGCTTGCAGGATGTGGTGGAACATAATTCAAGGCAGTAGTACCCAATCATTAGGGGACAGGCAAGGTTACATTTCCTTGCCTTGATGGAGAACATGCTAGCCACCATTAGATTCGGCAATGACTGAGCAACTAATCCGTCTTCTCATCTCCTGTCCCCAGCTTCCCGTAATCTATTCTGATTTACAAGCTACAGATGGTTTAACATGCACCTCTTGCTTTACCCCGCATTGCAACACAAACCTCATGCTTTGGTTTTTCAGATCCACAAGCACTGCCACCTGGTCAAGCATTGGTCTAGGAGCACGACGTCCAAAGGAGTGAGATACTGAGTATGAAAAGACCGCAACACTCAATCCCACACTTGCAGCAGCCACCAGTTCAGATATTGCCACCAAATAGGCTTCAGAAGGTAGTACACAGGTGGGATCTGCACATAGTCACCAGATCACCAGATAGATATAGCCCACCACAAGGACAAAGGGAAAGGGTAACACAGTTGCCATCTCCTTGGAGGTTATTTCAGTTGTAGAGGTTTCAAAGAGGCAGTGTTTGGAAAAGGCCATGCATGCGGAACGAAATGCTGAGTGGACTGACAAACTTGCCGAAAGACTTACTGTCACTGTCCAGGAGTATAGCCAAGTCTGACTCCATTTGGAACAGAGGTTTATGCAGAGCTTGCAGTCCATCCTTTCCAGTATCGAAGTGATGACCAAGTTGATGAGAATGCTTATGGATCCAGCCATTATGTAGCACCTGTGACCAAAGTCTCAAAACTCCGATTGTGGCATGAACAGAAAGACCAGATATCTGAGTTTTGCAGGAAACCTCAGACTAAAATCATGCAAATTTAGCCTGTCGCAAAGCATGCTTAGACTTCTGATATCAATGCTGTTGATATCAATGCTTAAAGTGGTCTACTTTCAAAGCTGTCCAATAGTTTGTCATTGTAAAGACCACATCTTATTATATTTATTGTCAATTATGGAGTGAAATGGGAAAAGGGACTGTTTTACAACAAAGAACTGAGGAAGAAATTGCCCCACTTTTATGACCTTTTTACTGAAACTCATTGAATGCCCTGCCTCCACAGTTGCTTTGCAAACAATAGGGAAAGGTGTAAAAGGAGACAAAAGAACATTGAACAAGAGCCAGTGCTGCTATGTAAATACAATCATTGCATATTTTATCTCAACCTCAACTCCACTTGACTTCCTGCTCCCCATAATCCTTTAACTCATTACTAACTAAATAATTGTCTATCTCCTCCTTAAATTTATTCAGTATCTGGTGTCTGCTGCACTCTGGGGTAGTGAATTCCATGGATTCATGGCCCTCTGTTTTAAATCTGCCACCCCTTACCCTAAAACTATCATCTCTTATTCTAGATTGCCCCAGAACGGGCCACGTCTACTTTATCAATCCCCTCTGGCAACTTATATTCCTCAATTAGATCTCTTCTCATTCTTATAAACTATATAGTATAGGTCTAAACTGCTCAATCTCTCCTCACAAAACAAGCCTTTCATCTCTGAAAATCATCCAGTAATCCTTCTCTGAACTGCCTTCAATGCAAATACATTCTTCCATAAATAAAATAACCAAAACTGCTCAATACTCCAGATACGATACTCCATAGTACTGCACTCCAATGATAAGGTCTGTTGCAGAGATCTCTTCTCCAGCTTCTGCTTCCATCTGTTTGAGCAGATCTGTGCTGCCTCTGCTCAATCCTCCTCTGATACTGCAGCATAAAGATGTGGAGATGCCGGTGTTGGACTTGGGTGGACGAAGGTTAAAAGCCCAACACCTGACAAAGGAACAGTGCTCCAAAAGCTTGTGATTTCAGATAAACCTGTTGGGCTATAACTTAGTGTTTTGTGACTTCTGAGTTTGACAGCATAAAGAAGCTGCTAACTTAGCACCCATGTCTAGGAGCAAGTGGTTTAATGAGAAGCCTTGCAGTTAGAATCGAGACCTCTTCATGTTTATCACCACTCCTTTGACATTGTCAACTTAACCCAACTCTGAAGACCAGCCAGTACATTTACAAACACACACTGAACCAATGGATATTAATCAGCAATTAATCCAAGAGTAGTTGATGTTCTCTTTTAAAAGCAGTGGTGAGAATCTGTTTCCTGTTGCTGAAGACGTGTTCAGATGTACACGTTTAAGAGATATCAGTCAAACTAGAGAGTCCTTAATGGAAACCTTGGAAAATTGCTTGGCCATCACAATCTGCATATTTGCCTACTTCTGACCCATACTTCTTATGGTCATGACCTCACCAAAAAAAATCTGCAACACACTGGAGCAGAATATCCACATATGATGCTTGTTGTACAGGGCAATGGTTCTGGAAGAATTAATGTTGAAATTGTATTAGCTCTATCCAACCTGATGATGTCACACAATCTTTGGGTGGAGTAAGAGTTGATTTTGTACAAAGTCAAGTGGAGACAGGCATGGCATACATTGTAAAACATTATTCCTAACTGATTGATCTTAATTGTACCTGTTGCGACTGTGCAATAAAGTATACCTTGTTATGTAAGACAAAAGCCTTTTCTTGTTACAATTGTATATTTCTCCATCATCTCCCAGTGATAATTACAAAGGCCTTTAGACATATAAATAAGTATCGGTGGTAGTGACAGCAACTCAGCATTGGACCAGAATGGGAAGCATTGTTTCAAGATGTGTTTCATTGGGCTACTGAGGGGGTTGAAAGCTTCTTAATACCTCAGCTTCCTGTGCACATACAGTGGTGATGATGTTACTTGACTGTCAACCTGAAGATTACCAGAGCTAGCTTCAATATGAGCAGCCGCAGAGAAACAAAGCACAGGTTTAGGAACTTCTCATTCCTTAAGAAAAGGAAGTATGCAGTTTGCTTACTGCAGGAAACCGATAACATTCCAGAAACTAAAGCTATGTTGCTCCTGGAGTGGCAAAAAGGGGTCTACATGAATCTGCTTCAAATTTGGTAGGGTGGCTGTCTTTTGGCCCCATATTTTCGGCTGCAGATCCTAGGTGTCAAGGAACCTGTGTCAAATTGTTTGTTCCATTTCCCTGTTCACTACGGGTTTGTGCTATTAAATTTGGTGAATATGTCCACTGCTCAGGCTGGGTCTTCTCAGCACCACCCCCGAGGGTGAGTGCATCTTCCCTGTTGGTGATTTTAACTGCATTCCCGAGTCAAAGATGATGCCGGTACTGAGCTCTTCCCAGCATCAGTGGGGAAGTTTAGGGATTTGATTAAACCCTGTGTGGCAACAACTCCATCCTGACTCCACTTTAGTGAGGTCTGCAATCAGCATCCAGTATCAACTGCCTTTCCATTTTGCAGATACACAATTCCTGTCTTCTGGTAGCTCCTATTCAGGATGTATCATGTTTGGACCACAGTCTGATGTGGACAGAACCTGTAGACTGTATTTCCCTTTTCTTGAACCTGCTGGAATAAAGTCATGTGGTCTGTCAGCTGCACCTTACTTTACTGGCCAATGACAGATCCTTTGTCTTGTATTCAGAGAGCATCAGCACTCAGACTCAAGCTTATTACTCTCCTCTGTTCTCTCTGGTTCTGTTCAGTGAGGATACTCACAGAGTATCTGTTGTGGGAAGACCTGCTATAGTTTGGCCCAGAAAACCCCAGTATCTAGGCGCTTCAGTTAGTCAAGAGGAGCTGACTGTTGCACTCAACAAATCCTCCACCAGCAAATTCCCAGGGATAGATGGGCTAAGGGTGGAGTACCACAGGGCATTCCAGGGAACAACTATGTACAGGTCCTGGAGGGATGTTTAATAACCGGAGACATGCCTATTCACAGTACAGAGCGGTTATGTCACTGCTGCCAGAGAGGGATGATCACTCCCTTCTTTAAAACCTGATGGCTGGTCTCCCTCGTCAACACAAATTACAAACGCTTTGCCAAGGCAATGCCGTTCTGCCTTGGCACTGTGGTAGACTGCATGGTTCACCCTGACCATACCTGCACCCTCCCAGCTAGACCAATTAAGACACTCATCTGATTTTGGACCTGATCCAACTTTTCCCAGGGGTCTGGTTGTTGGCCGCCTTCCAGCCCTTGAGCAGGGGAAGACATTCAATGAGGTGGAAGACTAATAATTACTTGGGTCTTTGTAAGCAGCCAAGTTTTGGATGCAATTTGTCTGGTTGACTTTTGTACATGACTGAAGAATATTTCATTAAGTTTAATGTCTTGACAACACCTCTTCGTTTTAGGGACAGGAGTATGTCAGGGTGGCTCGTTCTCTGGCCAATCATATTCAGTTTGCACAGAGCCATTATTGGAATTGGTATTGATGGGCTGGGTATGGAGATAGTCCTTCAAGTTGTGCTGATGATATGCTCCTCATTCACAAACTCAGTGGACTTGATGGACCTGAGGAGGATATGGGAGGGCCAAGAGCTATGCTCTGCAGTGTCTTTTGCCAGGATCTACTTGGGAAAATGTTCTGAATTCTGAGTCAGTGACAGATGGTCTCCCTGCCAGAGGAGCTCTGCTTCTTTTCCTAAAATATCATCCATCTCCTCTACTTGGGAGACTACCTTGTCTTGCTGAAACCGGAGGTGAAGGTCAGTTCTCACCAGGCTGCTGGACAGGACAATTGCATGTGCTTTCCTCCAGGTGTTGGAGATGGAGTTGGGGTTGGGGGCGGGGGGAGGGGGTGGTGCAGGTGGTGGGGAGTAGCTATTGATGTAGTGGGACTGGTTTGATCCCTCCCCTGGAGTTTGGCACAAATACAGAGGATACTCACAGACTGCTTCTGGGACAAAAGGCTTCCCTGTATTGCTGCTGTGCTTTGAGTGTCTGGCTTAGGGAGGTTTGTCAGCCACTGCTGTGCCTTCTCACCCAAGTGCTGACTTTTTTCCATCTTCAGGCAATGCAGTGGTACTTATACATTGTGCCCTGGTGATGCTTTACCTCTGTCAGATGCATGGCCTGAATTGCAACATGCAGCTCCTGTTTATAGATAGATACGCTCCTCATAATCCTTTTTCAGAAGTTGCCAACACTGGATCAGATCCAGGTTTGGGGCATGCATGACTCGTGCTGGAGTAATTGCTTCGTCACGAGTGAATTCTGCTGTTAGGGAGCTGCTGCTCTGGAATCCGCCCTTCCCCCAAATATGGCAGAGGAGAGGGCCAGACTGCTGCAGTGACCTGACTCTGGGAAATGGTGATGACAGAAGATTGGCCTGGATGATGCTGCAGAAATCTGATGGCAGGCATTGGTCAGTGTCCAGCACCCGGCCAAATCCACTCATTACTGCAAACCAATGATGCTCATCCCCCAGGGCAATTGCACTATCAGAGCAAGAGGTCAGCTTTTGAATGAACCAAGTCCATTTGGACCCAATTTCAATTTGGACTCAGGTCCCAAAACCTTTCTCAAGGACCTGTGCTGCACAGTTTGTACTGTCTCAAGGAAATTCCCTCCACGGCTTTTCAGTCGGCAGGGACCTGTTTACCATACAAGTTGTTGCTGCACAGCTTGGATTTCCTTCCCTTTGTCCTCGGCCTGGACACACCCAGACATTCTAACTTGCTGACCAGTGGTGCTGGGGCTCCCAGTTGAGAGCTCTCTGTGGGAATGTCTTTTTCCTTAGCAACAAGGTCCTTGGCTGGAGGGATTCCATAGGCTTCCAGGCTTTGATGAGTTCAAGTGCCATATTTATATCATAGAATCCCTACAGTGTGAAAAGACATTATTCGGCCCATCGAGTCTGCACTGAACCTCTGAAGAGCATTTCACCCCGACCCAGCCCCTCTCACCCTATCCCCATAACCTTTTTTTAATCCACAGAGCCTGAAAATTCTTGGACACTATGAGACAATTTAGCATGGCCAACCCACGTAACCTGCACTGTGGGAACTGTTGAACTGTGGGAGAAAACCGGAGCATCCAGAGGAAACCCACACAGACACGGGGAGAACATGCAAACTCCACACAGACAGTTGCTCAAAGCTGGAATTGAACCCAGGTCCCTGGTGCTATGAGGCAGCAGTGGTAATTGCTACAGATCTAGGCTCTGTTTTGTTTTCGAAAGGGGCTGCTGTAAATTTTTTGGTTCCATTTTAACTGGCCCTCTCCTGACCTTTGGGCACTCAGTGTGGGCAGATCCTTCAGTAAGAACATCCTTATAGGTCTGCTCCTTGGCCTGGCCAAGGTGACCACTACCAGGTCTAGACAGTGAGCTATGGAGTGGGCTGTTACCCTGACTACATGCCTTTGTCTCACGTCATTGTTAAAATTTTGATTTCAGGATCTCTTGTTGTCTTACAATGAATAGAGTTAACAAGCACTTCCTCTCTGCAAGACCAACTATTATTTGTCTTCTCTACTGATTATTTTCAATAGTTTTAATTATGCAGTTTTTATCCAGATACTTTATTTGTTTTTATTTCAAGATAGTCTATGAATTCTTCTGTAAATTCAGACTTCATACATCAAAAGCTTGCTGCTTTCCTCAAAGTACATCCTCCAGATCCAACATACACAGCACATCAGTCTTATCTTACTTTCATTGTTTATCTGTTGCTTGAAAAATATCTGTTGGCCTGTTAATCCTTGCCAAACTAAATTATTTTCATTGTTGTTGTACAGCACTCATTGTTCTCATCCTTATATAATCCTAGGTATATGAATATTTAATTGTTTTGCTTGTTTTGATTGTTCAAGCATCACTTTTATACTTGAAAACTTTTTAAAACTAAAAACTGAAGTGAAACTCAATGTATTTGCTATTGTAAATACTAGAATAAACACTAATACTTTGGGCAGGGTTTTCCTGTGGGATTCAGAACCCCAATGTTGGGACCAAATCTGAGTCTCAAGCCTGTACTTAGCAGCAGTGAGTCCATCTCGGTGATCTTCCAAGAGGAAGCTCCCTAATGGGCTGCATCTGAGCTCTTCATCCAATTAAGGAGAGTGAGCGGGCACTTGATGTTGCCAGCCAGATCAGCCCACGAGGTGAGGAGCTTGTCGCTGAAGCTCGCTGAAGACTGAGAGGAAACTCCTTCACTGAATTAGGGTCAACCACAGCAGCATCTTTTCATGTTTAAGACTCTGTCAGTGGCCACACAGCCAGTCTGTTGCAAGGAGGACACTTCCATTCAGTTAGGCCCACTCTGCTAGTGGCAACATGTCAGGTAGGCCACAAAATCACCTCAATTAGCATCTCTTTCTGTGGATCCTTCCCAGGTATAGTACCCTATTTCCAGCATTGCACTCATGAAGCTGTGGAAATCTATTTTTATCCTGTATAAAAACAAATGTTAGAAATACTCAGTGGCTCTGGTAACATCTATGGGGAGACAGCTAATGTCTGAGGTTGACAATTTTTTTGTCATAACTGAAATGTTATAGATGTTCTTGGAGTAACTTTTATACTGAAAGGCAGTCACAGGATTACAAATGATGTTCAATTGTCCCCACAATGAGGAAGTTATAAATGATGTAGACATTGAAATGAGCCAATCATAAAATTGTTTTATAACCGATGCATTCCAATAGACTAATAAGAA